CAAGAACGACTTTCTTGATGCAATAACCGGCGGTCCTAATCTCCAATCTTGAGATTTTTATTGGCCTTTGTTGTGGTGAAGCCGTTTAATCCCGTCCTTCGGATTAACTAGATTGAAACCAGAGCTTTGTTCAATCGGTGATAAACAGAGAGATGCTTAGTTGTTGTTGTTTGCTCCGATACCAATTGTTGGAAACAATCTCTTTATTATAACTGGAAAATAACTCAAAACCAATTACAATAAACTCTCATATGTTTCTCATATGGCTCTCATATCAAAACCCAAGGCTTGGCTATGATATATATAGTGTTAACCCAACTTGGCCAACAAGTAATCTAGGATCCATAATTCTATTCCTACTTGAACTAGAATATCTCGGGTAATCCTAATCCTACTCGATAATTAGTCAACAGATTTGTGTTGATAGTCAAGTAACTACTCTTAAACTTGTTTGAGGAAGAAGACATTATATAGAGATTCAAAGACAACATAGAAGAGACATTTACCCATTTCGTGAAGATCAAGTCTTGTTTGAATGTCAAAAATATGTCGACAAAGCAACAACCTGAGACAATCAATCAAACCCATAAATCCAAGAATAAATTCCTGAAACTCACAATTTAATTTAATAGTATAAAATTCACTTGCACCTTCTCTCATTGCCTCTTGCCCAACATGACTTAGAGTACAAATGTTTAACTTAAAAAAGATTTGACTATTAAATATCAACTACTCATGCTAAATCCAATTATTGTAGTCATTAGGTTTACCTTTCAGACCAGCAACCTATTTCTGCTCCCCAATTTTGATTTTCTAGTTATCACAAACTTTGAATCTCCAACAAACAAAATTATAAAGACCTAGAGCCACAATACACCAACACCAAAAAATTAACATCTTGTGAATGATAGAACAAATAGAACAATTTAAACGCGTTGAAGAAAGAAAAAAATATCAAGTGAAACAGCTATGGAAAATTAAGAATAATTTGCGATGGATATATCCTCCATACTTTATAATAGTACTAATGATAATAATTACACTAACAACAACAACAATAATAATAATATAAATAACAATAATAGTAATAAGAATGTCGCCTACTCAGATTTTGTGTGGGAAGCAGCAAATGACTAAGCTAGATGAAATATACATACCTTAATAAATAATGCTAAACTGTCACTGGAATAACATGTCAGAGATATACTGCCCGTTCCATGGAAAATTACTAATCAGTTTTTTACACCAAAACTAATACCAATAAACTCTTAACTTAACGAAGAATAAAAGATATTACTAACATCCTGCTGGGCAAAGGATTCCCGTGCGGCAAAACTACAGTCAAGCTAATCACAAATGGAAACCATCATAGGTTGGACTATGATAGAAACCATCATTTAGCACACATATGCAATATTATATCTAACTATAAAATTTAATGCTTTAGGTATCCTAGACCTTCAATTGAAAGAACACTACACTACTTTAAGTACAACCTTAATGTTGAATTGAAAATTTTCAACTCTCCAACAATTTTACAAAGAATAGACAAACCCACCCAAAGCTTAAATATGCACTACAAAAAACTCCTGGAATTGGCACGGACATGCCGTGACTACGCCGAAAAAAGAAAGTAGACACATGGCGTGTTTCTATTTGCGTTTCAATTTGGCTTAGCATTTTTCCGTGCCAAATGTCGTGCCAATAGCGTAAACGTTATGAAATTAACGGTGTTGCCGGACGGTGTTTATTCTAACCAATAGGCACGGATTTAGTTGTTCCAATTCCCTACGTTTCTCATAAAATTCAAAATCGAAAAGGACAAGACTGTTTTGTCATGGAAATAGCCGTGCCTAATTTCGATCCTAGACAAAAGCCTGACACACTTGCAGAGGCATTTAGTTTGGCACGGAAACCGCCGTGCCTACATAAAAGCCTAATAAATTCGTTTTATGACATGCCTATGCAAACGAAGAGTTCATTTTGTTTGGCACGGACAGGGCCGTGCCTATGCAATTACCAAAAACTGTCGTGTTTAATGCCCTCTATTAGCCACGGAAAAAGCCGTGCCTAGAATGGATCTCACACAAAAAGCCTGACACACGCAGAGATATTGAAATTTGGCACGACAACGGCCGTGCCTACACCGTTACCCAAGAATCCGATATTTACTACACGGTATAGGCACGGTTGGGGACGTGCTTACGTCCGTGCCTACGGTTTAATTATATATATTACCACCCCTTACATGTTCTTTCTCGATTTTTTCATTAACCACTCTCCTCCTCTTATTTCTTTCTTCGCTGACATCCCTCTTCCGCCCTCCTCCCTCCTCCGCCCTCCTCCCTCATAACCCTTTCTCCTTTCAATGTCTTCAGCAAGGAGCACTTCCTTCCGTGGTAGCTTTCGTGGTAGGGGAAGCTTTCAGCGTTCTCACTCTCGAGCACCACCGAAATCGCCATCTACCACTACCCCGTAGTCCATATTCAATGCCGGTGGCGACTTGGAGGCTGAGGTCGAGTTCAAGGGCGGAGGAGGCGGCAAAGGAGGAGACGGAGTTTCAACGGAGGCTAGTGCGGTGCCGTACGGGGATCTTCCGCGCTTGATCACTAAGGCCGAATTGAAGGGTAATTTTTTTGTTTTTTTATTATCTCATATATTATATGTATGATTTTTTAATTTTTTTTTAATTTTTTTCCAGCCAACAAGCTGTCCTAATCACAATACTAATTTATTTCAATACGTACTAATTTATTTTTTATTACATTTATAGCTTCGTTACGCATGGTTGCTCGGGGTTTTGCCGGCGGACACAGACAAAGTAATGAGGAGCACCTTTAATTCCTGTGGGTTTTGCCTTCTCCCATGCCTGTTTTTCAACAACATACGGTCCTCCCCCAAATGCCAAACGTTCAACCGGAATGACACAATTCAAATAACTGTGGTGTTAGAAGTTTTCTAAACAATGAAAATCTGTAATTATTCATCATTAACATTTGTCTGTAATGATCTTCGTTTGGATGCTAGACATTACTTTCATTATGGATATTACTTTTATTAATCTACATTATTATGCTGTGAGTGATTTATTCCGTATTTGAATTATGGCCTGTTATGTATTATTAATTTTTATTTTCAATTTTTTTTTTAATTTTTCGAAATCTAAGGCACGGATAAATCCGTGAAAAAAAATATTTTTTTATTTTTTAAAATCCATGGCACGGATATGTCCGTGGCAAAATATTTGAATTTCGGAATTTAATCTCCCAGCGTATTTGAATTTTTTGAAAATTTTTGAATATTTTGAAAATTTTCAAAATAAAGGCACGGATATATCCGTGACTTATGTTATATTTGTAAGAACACAATTTTGACACGGACATATCCGTGCCTAATATCTTTAACGTTTTTCTTACAACCGTCAGTTTGGAACGATTTTGTCACGAATGACGTCGTGTGTATATTTGGCACGGACTGGATTTCCGTGCCATACGGTTTGGAGCTTCGAAATTGGCAGCGTTTCGAGTCCGTGCCAAAATCCGTGCCTAATACCTTACTCACGGAAAACGTAAACTACAGTCCGTGCCAAAAAGCCGTGCCAATTCCGCGTTTTTTTTGTAGTGATGCTTCGACGCGGTGCATACACATATACTCATCTAAGATTGCGCAACTACTGTATATTTGGCTATTTTTTCAAAATTAAATCTCTTTTATTTTCACGTCTAGCCGTTCTCCACTTTAAAATCAGTCAAATGGATTCGATTCAAAGTTTTGCATTGAAAATCCCCATTTTTTCAATTCTTGGTTAGTCCAAACCAGTGGAGGCGTCAACAAACGCGGCACCAACCTGTTGATTGCCCCTGCCAACATCAGGAACAGAAACACTATAATTGGTTAGTAAAGAAAATACTTTCCAAATAATCACAAAAGCGCCCTACATGGCTTAACACATAAACTCATAACCCTCGATGTAGTGAACGCAGTCCGACTCAGAAAGAAAAATCAAGCCAAGCGCCGAGTCATATGACACATGTCAGTCCCAATGCTGAAAAACTAAATCTTGCGCCTTCTTAGCATTTGTATCCAAAACATCCTCTAAGATAATTTCGGAGAGTATAGTACAGTCTCAAAAAAAGTTTGCTATTGGTAGAAATGTGCATCATAAGATTCATAATAGTGAACTTTTGATGCATGGCTCCATATATAAAAAGATCAAAAATTCTGCATAGTTGGAAAAAGAGTTTATAATGAATCAAGTCCTAATGGAGGTGTATCCCAATGTTTTGCCTAATAAGTCTTCAAAATAATATACTCCCTCTGTCCAAAAAAACACATTTCCTTTTTCAACAATCACGGGAACTTTTCATTATTTGTACGTTTTCATTAATATTTCATAAAATAAAATATTCTTGACACCTATTATTTTGAAGAATTTTTCATGTAGTTTTTAAATATTTAAATTTTATTTTTTATCTTTATACCAATATTTAAATAAAATGAATTGAAAAAATTGATATTTTACATCATTTTGCGAAATGTGGCAAACAATCTGGGACGGAGGGAGTAAAATGCAGCTCTAACCGCATCAATTCAGCTCTAATTAGACAAAATAGGGCCTGCACAATTCAGACAATCAGGCAATAACAGGGTGATGAGGCAAAGTTGCAGAGAGGTGGAGTGTGGCAGACGCTGATAGAAGGATGTAGGATGACCGGAGAACGCTAGTGAAATCAGGGATGCTGCCTCGTGGATGGCAAAAGATGGTCATATATATAGACAACAATTGAGACAACAGTTGATATGAAGAAAATACAAAAAAAAAAATCAACCTATTAGCATTTGAGACAACAATTGATATACACAGTGTATGGGAAGTTCCTACTATACATGTCTTAAAAGAAAGAAGTATTTATAAGTAATAGTTCTGTACTTAAAAAAAGTAATAGTTCTAATATTTAGCCCACACATAAAACTTCTTTATCAAAAGATATGAATCATTACCTGCATTCTCAAAGGCATATTCAATATTTAACCTACATTTGAAGTTTTGCATATGTCCCACATCTGCTTAAAGGAATTAATTTCCAGAATAATCTAAAGCAAACTATTAAAGAGATTTTGAAAACAATGTAGCTATCTTATTTTAAAGGCTAGACTTGGAGGCTTACAATGAAGGAAATGACTGTTTTCCAATTGTCATGTACAAATTAACAGGGTTACAATAGTTCATTCCTACTTACAACCTTTCTTCTGTTTTCATATTTTATCTCGGTTAATTAGTTTTTTGACTTAACACCATCAACATTCATATCCAAAATGCGAGGGATAAATGACTAAGTGACAAAGCCAACCATTTTTGTAAGGAGCAATGGAATATAGTATAAAATAAGCAAGTTGGAAAGCATATAAGATGTCATGATCTAGAATAAAACCCATAAGGAAGGAGGAAAAAATAGAAGAAAAATATGTGGGACTTCCAGCTGACCAACAAAGAAAGTAATTTATACAAAAAAAGTGTCTCACAACCTCCAAGAAAGGCACTTGAATTACCTACAACTCAGCTGTTTAAGCATAAGGTTGAAATTTGTCTGACAAAAAAAGGGATATTTCTAAGGTTTTTTCTCTTCTCAAACATAATTTTATCTCTTCTAATTCATAGCTAATATTATTAGAGCTTATATGTGTAAATGAGACAGAGCATACCTTGTGGAGTTTGTAAGGGATGAAGTGAACTTTTTGTGTCGCTTATGTGGTGCTTTTACGGTGTTAAGGCAAAAGCACACTTTTTCTATAACATTATATTGCTAGTAATCTCATCACATCCAGGAGTTCAATACACAAATTCAAATTCTACCAAAAAGTCCCATTGAATTATGCATACAACAGGGAACTTGCCTTGAATATAGATCCATGTGAACTAAATAGTTTAATATTTACCTCATTGTGAAAATAGAGCATACCTCTACGAAGATTAATACTATGTTTAAAAGTACAGCTAAGTAAAGTTAGAAAGCTGATAATGGTATTTAACAAAAAAAACAAATATAATACTTTAAAATTACCTAGTAATTTCCATTGCCAAATTGATCAATGTCAATGGATTGAGTTCAGCCTTCCCATTCAGGTATTCATGAAGAACACCCTATAACAACGTGTAAAAAAAGTTACTATCGGAAGAAAATCCATTCATAGTGGGAAATAGAAAATATTTTACTCCAGCAAGAACCAAAAAATGCAAACCACGTCCCCCCCTTGAATTTTACCTTATGTCAGAAATCCATAGTCAGACGCAAACTAAAATGAGAAGGTAATGGAGATAATTGTTATTTAAGGGTGGCATTCACATATAAGAAAGAAAATACCTGATCGATGAAGGCTCCTGAGTAGGTCCCAAAAATTGAACGGATGGTCATGAGGAAAATTTTGATGAAAACACTTGTTCAAATTTAGAAAAGAGCATACCATAGTAGTAAATTTAACAAACACTTTGTGTGCATGCTCAAATATTAAATGCAAGCATTTACCCTAGGTCACCTAAAAAAACAAATAGAGCTACATAAAAATGTAAAAATTGAATCACAGATCATAAATTACCATGCAAGTGCAACTAAAATAACAAATCAACTGAAGTTTTCATAAGATTTTGATAAATACGCAAATACCTGAGAGGGAGTAAGTTCCAATGGGAGTTCTAAGATAAGAGCCTTTGATTTTGTAAGAATGCCAACACTCTAATCTATCTGAAATATTCCATCTTACCTTTTTAATCTCATAACTTGCAGATTCACGTACCCACCCAAAGTTATCTTCATCTTTCAAACAAATTGCAGTGTGTCCCGAAAATGCTCTACTTACCCATTTCTCAAGTGTTTTAAACCAACCCTACTGGCCGTAGATTTTTTTAGATGGCTATGAAATCACATGAGTGGACAGCATCCGGGTTAATCATAACATGTCATGGATGAGGATGTTTTTCAATAGTTGCTCCCATGTGTTTGTTCAAGGAAGCAAAGTTAGCCTTCTAACTCCAAACTGTGTTGGAGAATAGAGGCAGTACATTCATCTTGCAAACCAAAGATGCAAGCATCCCTGTAGTCATGAGAAATACAAAGATCCCGTGCTGTTTAACTTGTGGGAAATCTCATAAGTGTTGGCAAATTTCTGACCTTGTGAACTAAGACAATTAATTTTTTTAATAAAATTTGGCAACCAACTTCTTAGATGAATTAAAGGAAAGAAAAAAAATAAAAAAGTAATCTTAAAATAAATATTCATAATTAGGGTGTTGGAACACGGGTTTACGCCTTCGTCGCACTAAATTGTGTTCGTTTATGACAGGTTTTGATAATGCCAAACTGACATATCGAAGCTAAAGTGAGCAAAACTAAGGCGAAGGAACATGACATGATGACTTAAGAACCAAGAACCCAGAATCAAGAACGAAGAACTAGAATTGTATTGAGTCGGTCTTAATGTGATCAAGACCGGCACAAAATTCCAAATCTTGGCTCTCTAGGCTTAATTCATAAAAATCTCTTTTACATATTCAAAAATACTTTTCTTAAAGTTTAAACTTGGGTCAAAACACTTGGAGTTCGCCCAAGCCAAAAACCAAGCCATTCGGCGTTCGGCTCTCGGTTTTCGGCATCGGTTTTTGGCGTCCGAACCAACCAAGTGGTTTTTAACTTTTTATAACTGGTTTTTACTTCTGGGCATATTTAAATAGTTCTCCAACAAAAACGCCTCAAAAACCACCTTCCGTTTTTGATCGTTTAGTGAAAACCATGCGAAACGGCACGAACTTGGCTAGCCGTGGTTTTCAACTAAATGACGTGGTTTTTAAGATGTTTTACTTGATTTCTTAGCAAATTGCAATAAACAAATGTTTTCTAAACTTGGTTTTTATTTTGGAGAACTTGC